AGTGGAATAGAGTGTTAAACCAGGAAGAGAAAGTAAGTGATTGGTGTTCCCCGCCAGTATTGAAGATACATAATCCATCCCAACGCGCGATTGCAAAAGGAGGGAGAGACAATAGCTGCGGCGCGCGTCCGGGGGCAGGAAAAAAGGCGGACTCGAGCATAACCGACACGACCCGACCCCGAGTCGAACGGGGGTCCTGCAGACTCAGAATGTCCAATGAAACGTAGGCAGGTGCGTTCCATAACGCAATCGGGTCTTGGATAGGTGCTGGGTGGGTTGATCTGGAGGGAAAGTCAACTGCGAGTGGGATTTGAGAAAGCCAAATGCTAGGATGCGAGAAAATGGCACAGAAATGCTGCCAAATGCCACCGAGGTCCAAGCTAGAAGAGAACCGAAAGAATCAAGCCAATACATGAGCCAGAGAACCAGATTATCAGAGTTTTTGAGCTAAAGACGAGAACGGAGTGAGGAGGAGATGAGCTCGAGGAGATGGGAGTTAGGGACAACCGCCGATTGATTGCATCTGAGGTTGTAGCCAAACACCGGATGTCACTCCGCCTTTCCTTAGGTTCAAGGCCGTGTTTGGTCTGTTTGGTTTGATGTTTGGCGTGTTTGGTTGACCCGGCACGGTGCGGCATCGTCAGAACGGGGCTTGGACTCTTCAGCGAAGGGCCGGCTCGCCGGGCCGGAGCTGCGCGGGCTTGCTCCGAACCTAGCCTTTCCTCCCAACTCGACTCGCATTCGTGCCTAGCATCCACGGAGCTCCGATGCCCGATTTCAAAGAAGACTCGACCGCAACCTGTCTGTATCCACTCTGCTCCGGATTCTCCCAGCCCCGATCTGTCTGCCGCGGCCCACAAATCCAGCTGCCGTTGCTGCGCATGCGTCGACGCCTTAAATCCTCTAAACGAGATACCAAGCCAAGCCAGATTTTTATGGAGCACTAACAATTGTGGTGCGTTCGATCCCATCCTTATTATTTCTCTCGTTTACACGACTATAATCGCAGTCTCCTGGACGTCAGTGACACGGCTCCCGCCGAGCGCACGGCTTCCGTCCTCCCGGTACGTCTATATCCTCGAACCCTCGATTCCCTGCCCTCTGTACTCCCTCCGTGCCTTGATCGCAGGACGTCGATCCTCGAGTCGTTCTGATCAAAGTTTCCGACGACGCTGGCTGCGACATCTTAGACCATCAGTCCTGCTAAGCCGCAATCTCTTCGGATAACGCTACCCAAGCCGCTGTACGTACCACGTTTTGGGATCTTTCGTAGCACAGCCGACGCACGTCGTACACCGTCGCCTTGTGACGTGGCGCGCGCACCCCTACTCGATCTCGCACCTCCGTCGCTCCCCTCTCCTTCGGAATACAGCATGCATGGAGTCCCCACCTAACCCCTTCTCGGTTTGCTCGGAAGTAACGCGCCCGCACGTTATGGATGTAAAGTGTACACACATAGCGCAAGCGCGCCGCTTGACACGCGCTCCGCACCGTGCAGCCCGCGTCTCGCATCCTTTACGCGCACCCCACCTTCACACACGTGCCTCCAAGCCCGTGCCCCGCCCACCCCGTTTCATTCGCAACGCTGCGAGCTGGACGACAATGCATCTGCGCGGCTCGCCCGTCGCGCCCCCATCTCGCATCCATCGTCCTCCCCGCATGGCGAGGAGAACGCGAAAACCCCGGAGACTGTCGAGGAGAGGGTGGGAGGAATGGGCAGGGTGGGGAGCCGGGGCGGGGCGGGGAGGCGATGATTAAGGAGACGCGGATAGAGGAGAAGAGAAGAGGAGCTGGAGCGGCGGGATGAGACGAGATCCGACAGGGCCAGATCGAGGCGTGCAGGCCCTCCCACAGATACATACAACTCGCCACCTCACCAAGCCCCGATTGCGCTGTCGTACGCACCTGCCTACCTTGGCAACTGGCCGTACTTTCACGTACCTACTTTTGAACATTGTTGCAACCTTGATCTGTCTTAATGCGCACTGAATCTGTGCAACTGAGACGTCGTGGAATACGAAGGTTTTGGGTCGACGAATTTCCGCGAAGGAAAGGGTTGTCTCGTCTGGAGATACAGGATAATCAAGGGAGGTAGATGAAATAATTCGTGTTCCTTGCCACGGGTTGAGCTGCTCGCAATGCACTGAATCTGTTGGTCTGCTGAGGCCTCTTCAAGGTAGGTGAGGCGAGAGTCGATCCCAGCATGAGCGATGAGCGTGAAAGAAGTGATCATGTCTGTGATGTGATCGCGCGACTTGATGGTGGCGGTAGGTAGGTAGGTAGGTCGGATTACACGGCACGGTCCCGCTTAGGAACGCCGGGGCCCAGGAATTATCTGAGTTTACAGGCACTTTGTAAACTATGGTCCCTGGACTTCTCCATATCCCCGTAGCCAAGCTCGAACATGGACACGACGTAATGGTGTAATGCAATGTACTGTTAAATCACTGGCAGTAAGATACTGGGAATAATGGATTGAATGACCTGGGGAATACTGCAATATTGCATTATTGACACTTCCATTGGTGATTTGTTGTGTCGATGCCGCATCAACCGCATCGTCGATGCGCGTCGTTGAATAACAAAATAAGTACATGTGTGGGGTACACATAGTGCTGTGGGCAGAATTAATTCCAGTCTAATTTGCTGGGCAGAATGGCAGAATGGCAGGGCAGAATGTGGCAGAATTTGGCAGATTTATTTTCTGTAATTTCATGAAAAATTACGGTCAAAACTTGGCATTTCTATTGGCCCATGAGCTCCTCAATGCTCCAACTTCCTGCAACTCTATCCCCAACAGCATCCATGTTGTCCTTTTCCACTGTGATAGCTTCTCTACGTTCAACACACTCTAATTCAATAAAATCAACAAGTTCACCATTGAGGATTGATCGGTGGCGGGCCCTAGCGGGCTCTTCGTCCTCGATGGCTCTATTCAGGTCTTGATAATCCTTAAGTTCTCGATCTCGCCGTCATCACTGCCATCGGGCGGGGGAACCGTACACTTCCAGTAGTAGTGGTTCAATTCCCCGGTTTTCGGGGGGACTGCGAGCAAAATGATTCATGTGGAACAGACCAGGTTTTAGATTGGAAATGGATGGTACAGGGAAAGAAATCTCGTTGGAATGAAGTACCCATTAAGGAATACATACTTGATGGTATACGAACAATGGGAAATTAAAATTTGTGCCCTCGACCAGCACCTGACCGTGAAATTAGAAAGATTCTGCCGCATTCTGCCATGGGGGGTCTGATTTCGCCATTCTGCCGGGGAGATTGGCAGACTTCTGCCAACAGCACTAGCCGTACACATCCGAATAATTCACGGATCCTCCTTGCCTATGCATTTCAACAAGGGAAGCTATCATGCAGAGGCTACCGGTGTGTATTGTGGACAATGGTTCATTAGTAGCTGTCAATATACAGCCTGAAGTTCGATATTTGTTGAGACATTAAATTAATATTGACAGTTTATCGTCGTGGAACAGGGTCATTGCATGCACCCTTGGATGAGGTTCGTTATCATCGGGCCTGGATAGTCTTTGGGTTTCAGCCACCTGGTAGTTGAAAATGAACTTGCCTCGTTTCTGCGAGTGTAAATGAAGGATCTGTGCCAGTGATGATTTTATAACTGATCAGCCATGGCCGTATTTTTAAACAAGGAGAAATGTGGCTGGCAAAATACCCTGGAGTTGGTTGAAGACAACCGTTTCAGGAAGGGATTGTTCAGTACTCATGCTAAGAGATGAAATTAGCACCCACAAGCAAGTAGTTCAAGTGTTAGAGCACGCTGACACGTCAACTCTAATTGTTCCCCTCAAATCTAGTTAAAAAGATAGGAGAGTATTGTGAAGAGAATCTTTATCAGTTAACTGAAAGCTTGGCTTGGAGGGATGGGGAGTAATCTACGGTGGACGGGAGGCGGAGCGCTGATCGCTGCGTCAGTAGCGAATCAAACCGCGCCAGCCGCGCTATTGCGCGTCACAGATCCAGTTGTGTTGACGAAGAACTGAAGACCGATTTTTAATACAGGGATAGTTGGAAGGTACAGTGGCCAACCAAGTTTTGGAATTTGTATCCATGTCACACAATGGATTGAAATAGCAGAGCGAACACAATCTAATGGAATGAGAGAGGATTCAGGGCTTCCACGAGTGATCCGAGTATGTCTGTGGAAAAAATCAACAAGGCACAACGGAGGGTTCACCAATCAATTAAACCAGGAAACATGACCCGACGGCAAAGAATCCCATACATTTCCCAATTACAGGTACTTTCTGAATTGATTCAAGTCCGCTCTATAGTAGACACTGGGGGCATGACCTGAAGCACCTGAAAAGCAAGTGCGATTCACTCATGCCATGTTCCGCAGCCCACAACCCAGATTTGGGTAGACAAAGGGGGGCTTTGTTGTCTGGTGGGGGGTTGACAAAGCCTCCCTTTCTCGCTTCAAGGTTCTTTTGTTGGCTGTTTTTCTGAGTGCGGAACACATGAGTGAATCGCACTTACCTTTCAAGTGCGTTGGTCGTTGCCCCCAGTGAGATATACCCTGAATTCAATGAAGAATAATACTCCCCGACGTAGCTTAGTGTCCACATTTTGGGGAAGGTTTTTTTTGCTTCAGGGGATGTGTTGGGACCACAGATGGTTGTCTGAGGTGGAATCAGGGATTCTGGGGGCTTAGTTTGAATGTTTGAGGCTGCGCGCCAATCGCCGCGTCAATGCGCGTCAGTGCTGCATCATTTTTACTAGACCCTAGTCAAACTATTACACTACATTTTTTTATATAGTTTGAGGTGGGAAAAAACTTGCGTGATATGCGTACAGGCACAGGTGTTCGCCGCTCAAAGTTTGTTGAATGTTCCAAAGACATTGACATTCTGAGTAAGTATCTATACCTTATTGGATTGAATTGACATAGTAGTCTGGTGGAATAATGATCGGAGTACGTGTAGGATGTGGCGAATAGAGATATTAAAGAGGGAAAGAAAAAGATGGTATGGCCATCGTGGGGGTCGAACCCAAGACCTTCGCGTTATCCTATGTTCAATTTGGAACATATTAGCACGACGCTCTAACCAACTGAGCTAGACGGCCATCTCGTTTGTCGCAGCTGTTACATGTGAGCCGTGTGTGCAGTTGACTTTCGACGAAACTCCCCGGTTCTTCCCCGTGATATTTAGGATTCCCGGTCAATAGAGCCGCCCGTCTTCCCATCCTTTTCGTGAGACATTTATTTGCGATCGTTTATGGAGTAGATTAACTATCACAGTGACTGGGACGAAGATGACTGTAGGTATTTGACACCTACTTCACACCTGCCATCGGAGTCGGCGGTGTTGGTGAACACGCTAAGATGTCGGCCAACAACCTTCCGAAGCTGGGTACAATGAGCGGTCCCCACATCTGGGAATGTGTCCACAAGATATCTCTCCATGCATGCGCTCTCCATCACGACACTTATCGACTCTGGGTTCATGGAAGTTCGACGTACGACGTAGCCACTGGGTCATCGTCGGAGAATGTTGTGTCGCGCTACGATCTTTTGCTGCGTCCAGGACAGCTGCCCCAGTGGCATCATCGGGCTTCCCACTCAGTTCCCGAGACATTATACCACGGCTTCACATACACTGGCCACTCCCTGTATCGTGAGTGGAGTGGCATGCACCAAACGCACCAAATCATTGCACCTACCTCTACTTGCTTTCCTCGACGGTGGACAGCTTGATCTTCCTAAATGTAGTGTATACATCGACGTGTCACCTTACTCTGGGGCGATAACTTTCTCGACCAGCACATCAATTTTCATTCGATATTTCAAGTAGGGTCTTACTCAGAATATACTCAAGAGTCACCCTCTTGGACACGGCATCTTAAGTGATTCGGGACAAGATAATGCAGAGCTTTCGCTCACTGTCGGGTCTTCTGTACGATTATCCGTAATATCATACTGGCTGTCTTTATTGCAAGTTTTCGTGATCCGTCTCTTGCCGTATGAGAAAGAGCTTATTCTGCATTCTTAAATCGTGCGACGTGTAAGAGCCGTCAAAACATTGGGTGTGGTTCCCCATTCCTCATGTGTCCTCCTGCGATCTCGTGTTTTTCGCGTGCTATTTACACCTTTGATTTATGTCTCCCATCGACAAGTTCGAACTGCTTTCCAGCTCCGTGTTCTCTCACAGCTCCTCGTTGGTCCTGCTTCTATCGTCGTGTGGCAGAAGATTATCAAGGTTGATGCTCTTCCAATTTTCAGTATGTGTGCCTGGTATCTCGCTCTGCGTACACCGCGAGTGGCTCGCCTCTATCTGCCTTTGATTCAATTCAATCCTGCGGACTAACTATCACGAACTGGGTTCATTCATCCGGCAACGAGCTACACAGCACGTTTGACAAGCCTCGGCACCGCGCGGGACTGCATACTGTACTTCAACCCAAAGCTTTGACCTCCTCGAAAGAATAACAAAATAACGATCCATTAACCGCTTCTGCAACACTTCTCAGCCATGAATTTTCCTTCCACATGGACTCACGGTCCGCAGCGTGAATTATTCTGAATTTCTGGGAGATATTTGTGAGGGCGATTGGAAGTCGAAGATGTATGAATGAAGAACGGAAGAGAGCAACCATTAAAGCGGTGTAGTGAGTCACTGAGTGGCGAGAAAGAGGTCCAGACAGTTAGCAGGAGATACTCACCTAACTCAAATATTCGCTGCGCAATGAATGTGAGAGGCAAAATTAGATATTACATCGAATTGCTGAAGCACTGCCGTGCTTTGAGGACAGAGCTTGATGGACGCGAGTTATTGGAAGATACCGGAAGCGGTTTTACCTTGGACGCCATAGTTAGGCGCATGCAACGCGCGGAGAAAAGGAACACCCGCAGCCGAAACTTCGAAATGAAAGGAGGAGAGTGCAACAACCATCTGGAATCATAGTCAGCGGACGCCTGCACGGACGTCCGAGAACCGTTGAGCGTTAATTGGAAGAGAAGATAAGAACGAGGAAGCACGGATAAAAAATCGGTACGAGGGACAGCGGCCGAATCGTCTTCGTCCTCGGCTGAATAATCGCGGGAGAGAAGAACTAGATACTAGTCTTAGTCTTGCCGTAGGAGCGAAGATCATCGGGGCGAGATTTGCTGTGGCCGATTCGGAGGATGGCCGCGAGGGAGGGAAATGCGACATTACTGAGCCGGAACGGAGATGGCTAGGAATAGTAAAGAGATGTCGGGTAGAGTAGTGGACTCGCCAGAGTTAGCCGAGTGGCGTGCCAAAATGGCTTGCGCCGCTTAGCGGAGTTTAAATTGGCTGGGGCGGGCGGGTGTGGCGTGGCTTGCGGCGTGGCTTGGCTTGTGCTCGGCTACACTACAACTTCCCACTGTAAATATTTCGATAATTTCTCAATATTGGTGCCCTGCGAGCCTCTCCTTTCATCATCGTCATCTCCACAACATCCGCATCAACCTCGCCGCCGTCATTGACAGCGCCGGCGACTTTTGAACCAGCAACCTCGCGGTTGGTGAAATGTTGCACCAGTCGTTACGTATCCCTTACAATACCAGAAAACACTATTTTTCAAGTTCTTTCTCCATTTTGCTGACTGCTTGGGCTTGCTCAGCAGACTTGCAGCCTCAGAATGTCTGAGAGGAATTCAGTCAACCTACCACAAATATCAATGGCCTCTGTTGAATGCCAGCTATCCGATGAAGTAAAGTACAAGTCCGTCAACTTGAGGCCAAGTCTCGACCAATATTAATATAAACGTCGATATTGAACAAGGGATGTTGGGGGAACTTAAATTGGTAAGCTCGGACAATTTATTTAGTGCAACAGGCCATATTTATACTCTGCAAAAGAGAAGAAACCAGGGAACGGGTAGCAGGGAATTGAATAAAATATAAAGAAGTCAAGGGTACGAGCCGTGAAGGTAGAAAAAAAGGACGATGGACACATCCACAATGTGAGATGTTGCCGAGCGCAACAATTAGGGTTGTGCTTGATCCTAAATCCAGTATCCAATGGTATAGAGGTGTTCCGGAGAGTCTCAGATCCAATTCCTCTCTCCCTTGCCACGATTTCCGATGCAAGCCACATTCTCCGCCCAATTGATGGCATCAGACAAAATGGCTTGTGCACACCATGTGTCATGTTCAACTCCGTCTAACTCAAGGTAATTTCAAGATAAATACTCAACAATGATAGGAGAGCATGAATACGATATATGGTGTGTGGATCTGACCTTCTTATTGTGCAAATTTCTATACTTTTCGATACAAGCCATGCCCACGCCCAATTTGATGGCATCAGACAAAATGGCTTGCGCCCGCCATTTTGTTCACGACGAGCACAGACACTTCCCTCGTGGTTTCTCCACATGAATTGACCCTGAAATACTTTACTAGACTTATAGAAATTATTTATTTGAACAGGTTGGACTTATTCAACATTTTTCTTTGATCTGCTTGACATTAGTAGATTGAACTGAAGTCAACCAACAGCAGTGAGCACGGGAATATTCTCTATACTGATTATATGGTGTGGGGGGGAGTATACAGACCTCATTATGTGAAGAGAGGCAGTCAAATTCTGTCTGACGCCAACAACTATTTTGCGTGCGAGAAAACATGTAAGTTAGGTACTCGTTTGGTGAATGTCAGTGTATTTGGGACAGTTTTTGCGTCACCTTGTATCTCGATGAACACTAAGAAGCGTCAGCTATCGATTCGACTCCACAAGCCCGTTGGCTTGCCAGCAGAGCATCAGTTGAGTCCATTATTAGTCGCGTCGGTCACGGGTATTACCAAAATAAAGACAGTACATGAGAATTGATGTCGTGGGGACCTTCAGGGAATTCAATGTAATGTATCTACCATATAAGATGTGCCACTAGAGGCCCCTACAACAGGTTGGGAGCACAAGCCACTTCTGATTTTTGGCTGGGACCAAGTTGGCGGAATGGCTTGCCAAGCCATTTTGATCGGCCGGGCGTGGGCGGGTGATCACACCCAAATCCACGCCCCCGCCCGAAACAAGCCATTCCGCGCTGGCGCAAGCCACTTTTGCAAGCCAAAAATGTCACTCTCGTGGACTCGCGAGAAGGAAATCGGATCCAGGAGGCAGAGTGGTTGCGGATATGGATGAGAAGGAAGACGGGGGTAGCCGCTGTGAAATATCAGACCCACATATGCTCTGATATGTAAATACATACCATGAATGAGCCCGGTGCCGGCTGGAAAATCAGCGAAGGAACTGGACGAATAGATGTGGCAATGCGCTCGAAAGAGGACACCTTACCTTCCGATTTCCCTCCAGATATGTGCCTTCTCCATCCAGCCAGTCAGAAGCGTTGCAAGTTGCGTATCGGGTTCCGATTTGTGAACTCCAAGCGCGGGTTGGCGGAATGTCGTCATTGGGAGGCAAAGAGGCGGTGTTTCTGGGGCAGTACCAGTTGGTGATCAGGGCGCGATGCGGACGGAACAGCTGTGGCGATACCGATGCTCAACGCTAAATTCTTGCGTCGATATGCGCAAAATGCGCGAAGTGAGCCCGAGGACGACGGGAGAGGTGGGGACGTGTAGTTATCGCGTGCGCCACTGTTTTCAACACGGAGAGGGTTGGAAAACCAGTAAAGGAATTGAGTAAACATGTGTAGCAAACGTACTTTGATAGATGAGACGCCAGTGCTTAACCAACGTCCTAGGTATACCTCTCGAAGGAATGCAGCCGAAGCGATGGAGATAGTTGACTAACTGTGATTGGCGCTACGAATTTCGTCGTTCGTCGAGCGGGAGGGAAGGGAAGAGGCCGTATTGGTAAGAGGCACTGGAGGGAGAATTCCGCGAAGAGATGCATCTTGCGCCGGAATGGCGGACTGAGCGAACGTGGGATGCTGTGCCCAGGGCGATTGACATCGCATTCACAAGGATCTAGAAAACGCGGATCATGTCATTCGAGTGGGGATTCGGACTTAAATGAGGATGGGCAGGGATATGTGCTGTGCGAATCGTCTGGAAAAGTATGCGCACAGGTAGCAAAATACATCCTCGGCCATCCGCAGAACGCGACAGGCAGCAGGGTTCCGAGTTCGGCACAAAGGGT